CTAAACCCGAAGCCCCAAACCCGAAATCCCAAGCTCGCCTTCTGCAGCGTGAAGCAAGCTCGCGCCAGGCAGGCCAAGCCTCCCGGCCTGAGTCTTCTGGTTTTTAAAGTTGTTTATTGTTTTTAAGGGTTTTTGTGAAGGGTTGTTTTAGTGTTGTAAGGGTTTTTTTGTGAAGGGGTGTTTAATATTTTTAGGGTTTTTGTGAAGGGTGTTTTAGTGTTTTAGGGTTTAGGGNNTTAGGGTTTAGGGTTTAAGCTTCTAGGATTTAGGGTTTAGGGCTTCTAGGGTTTAGGGTTTAGGGCTTCTAGGGTTTAGGGTTTGGGGACCCGACTCAGAGCCTTGGAGGTGTAGGGCTGTCATGGAGATAGGGTTTGGGGTGTAGGGTTTAGGGTTTAGGGTTGTCACAGGATTACAGATTCCGCCAGGCTTTCTACACAGAGGTTTGCATTCCCGCACCTCAAGCCAAAACCCCAGGGTTTAGAGCTTAGGGGGTAGGGTTCAGGGTTTAGGGTTCAGGGTTCAGGGTTCAGGGTTTAGGGCTTAGGGTTCCCGGTAGCTGAGCAGGTGGTATCTCGGACACCGATAGCTCAAGGACTTAACGCATCAGTCAGTCGTCTTGGACGATCTCGGCGAGCTGGTCGACTAGATCCTGAAGCCTAAACCCTATAACCCTAAGCCCCTAAACCCCAAACCCTATAACGCTAAGCCCCTAAACCCTACACCCCTATAACCTAAACCCTAAACCCAATAGCCCTAAACCCGAAACCCCTAAACCCTAAACCCGAAACCCATAAACCCTAAACCCTAAACCCCTAAACCCTATAACCCTAAGCCCTAAACCCCATCATTTCCACTCATTGGCGCCTGCCCACGTTTCAGTGCGGACTGGTCTGGTGGACTCACGGAGCCACAGCGGCCTTGCCGAGGCCGCCCCGATCAGCAATGCACTAGAAATCAAACTCTGCAATGTAGGCCTTATCCCTACAACCCCAAACCCTCAAAATCACTAAACCCCTAACCCTGTAATGCCAAAACCACGTGCAAAACCCCGGCACACGATACCAAAAAGCACCCTAGAACCTCTCCCCCTTCCCGCCCCCCGCACAACAGCAAGCACAAAAACATCACAAAACCCTACAATACCCTGCAAGACCCTACTACAAGAACCCTATAAGACCCTATCAAGCCCTGCAAAACTCTGTAAAACCCTACAAAACCCCACAGAATCCCTAGAGACCCGGCACGAAACCCTAAACCCTAAACCCTAAACCCTAAACCCTAAACCCTAAACCCTACCCATAGGCCCCATAGTAGTTCCTTTGTGTGGCTTGTAGCTAGGATCCTATTAGGGAATCCCAAAAAGGAACCACTATGGAGCCTATGGGTAAACCCTAAACCCTAAACCCTAAACCCTAAACCCTGAACCTTAAACCCTAAACCCTAAGCCCAAAAACCTAAGCCCTAAACCCTGAGCCCT